GGGGAGGGGTTACTCCGTGCTCTCGGCTCAAGTTCCTTTCTGGTCGTTTTTCATTGACAAGTCCCAGTGGGTGGTTGGTGGGTGCTCTGGTGTGGTTTGCACCTTCTTTCCTATCAAACATCTATTGTCCTTATCTCTCCTTCTCTTATTTTGCGTTTGTTATTCTGTTGAAACACCGTTAATTTTCGGCTTTTATATACTTATAGTACGTCTTTATTGGGTTGCAAGTGCCGAAAACCTCTTACTAAAAAAAAAATAAATAAATAAATAAAATAAAGCAAAAACAAGTCCCAGTTCAAACGATTTTCTGTCTGCGTGTGAACAGAGAAATATGTGCCCAACGTCACAGAAATGACCACCATGCCATCACCTGCAATAAGTTAATGGACAACATATAAACAAAATACATCTGAGTGACTTTATTAAGTTTGAGCACTAGTTAGCTACAGTCATCTCGAAATATACATAGAGGACAGAATTTCACAACATTTGCAGATACTTTGAGTAGGATAATTTTGCTTTTTTTTCTGGCAGGCTGCTCCATATCGTCAGTGTTGCAAGCAATCCACTTAAGTCCGTTTGAATGCGTTTTACACCAAAGACAAAGAATAATTTTTATGTTGTTGTTTTGTCACAAAGATTGAACGTTATTTTAAAAAATAATAATAAAAATGGATGTTCACATTATAGCTAGTCACGCTGCGTTCAACAAATTATATTTGTCACAATGTATTTACTTCTTTTTCGCCTTTGTCTTTTCCTGAGCAGCAATCCAGAGGCTAATGAGGGAATCTATCGCAGCTGTCCACGTCACGAGAATGTGTGTGGCCCTGAGACTGTTTTTTTACATCGGCCTGATTTCTCCATCCGCTTTGATTTTAGCTTCGACCTACAATGATTCTGCTCGTCTTTATGCGGACATACTCAAACCGTTCGACATCAGAATACGACCTTTGAAGAATCAGTCAGAACCCATCACCGTTTACTTCCAAATGTTCCTTCTCAATATATTGAACATCGACGAAGTCACACAGCAGGTCGACTTAAACGCATGGATCAACTTCTCGTGGGTGGATGAGCTTCGGACCTGGGACCCCAGCGACTATGATAGGGTATCTTTGATTCATCCCATGCCACTGGACACTTGGAGGCCTCGGATTCTCGTGTCCAACTCAGTGGCCAAACGAGACTTGTTCGAGGATGACTACACTCCGCTCTACATTTCGTCTGATGGTAGGTCAAAGTGGTTTCCCGGAACAATCTTTTCCATTTCCTGTGATATTGACATCCGGCATTATCCTTTCGACAGTCAGACGTGTACTATGTACATAATGACGCAAGACTTCGCTACAAATATCAACTTTTATCCAGACCCATCGACAGTGATGACCGGCAACTTCAAGCGGAACGGAGAGTGGGACCTGATGAGCACACAAGTCATAACATCAACGCCCACGTTTTCCAATGCGGCCTTCTCCCGTCTGGAGATAAGCATGGTTCTAAAGCGTAAGCCAGTGTTTTTCGTGGTCAATACTTTGGTTCCAACAATGTTCATATCGGCTATCTCCTCTATCGTGTTTATTCTCCCGGAAGACAGCGGCGAGCGGGCGTCCTTTGCGATCACAATGTTGCTGTCGTTGTCTGTGTTTTTGAGCACGGTGTCTAGTCAGCTCCCACAGAACTCTGAAAATTTCCCCATTATCATCAGTTACCTGTTTTCTTTGCTAGTTCTCAACGGCACCACTGTTTTCGTCACCGTCTTACACCTGCGGTGTCGCCAGAAGAAAAAGGAGTCAACTCCAAAATCTACCGGAAAAGAAGCACGCCATGTCGGCCCTGTGCTGTCTGCTAGACGCAAAAGACACTTCCATAACGTCAGTATACAACCGATATGGGGGAGCGGAGAGAAGCAGCTGGCGGCCATTCCTGGTGAGGCCAATGTTGGCCAATCTTTTCAAAAACAGGACATTGCACAAAGGAAGAATTCTCTAATTTCAGATGGCGATGTGACTCTGGCAAGGGAGACAACAACTGATCACTCCAAACAGAGGAATAACTCTCATGGAAACTCAGTTGTGATGGCGTACCTTAAAGATCCCAATGTACTGCTCTTTGTCTTTATCAATACTGCGTGGCTGATCTTAACTACTTACTTTTTAGTTGAGTTGATAAGTCCCTAAAACTGAAGCTTTTTATGAAGTCAACCCCAGGAACTCCGATAGCTGTAAATGATTATCAACACAATTTTGATCATTTAGAGGTTTGCTGTTTGATTTTGTCGACCAGACCCATCCCTGGCTGAATGGGATAAAGCATTCAAGTAGAAAGTTATAAAATACAGTTGAATTTGTCAGACACGATCATGAACTGTTGAGGAGAATGGTCGTTTCAGACAAGTGATAAAACAGTGCTATTATAATTATATAGATAAAAGAAGCGCAAGGAGAAAAGTGGGAAGTACGTGTATAGTTGATTGTCTCGGACAGGTGGTGTGGTCATTAAACAGGTTCAACTGAATCCTTCCCCAAGCAGGAATAGAATTCACGTCTTTTGCTGATCCAATGACCAAGAGTCTAATCCGAAAGCCGTCCCGTCAGTCTTCAATACTGATCACTATAATATTATGAAAAAAAAATAAATCCCGAACTGACAAACCGTGGTAAACCTTCATTAGGTCATCCCCTAGTCGGTTGCTACGTTTTACTTTTCTGTCTAGTTCCATACCTTCTAGTTGAGAGAAGAAACCAGTCTGGTTTTTTATACAATGGGGAACATTCTGAAGTAATTTTTGTCGCAAACCTTTGGAACTTTTATTGGTATCCTTAACTAAATGAGTAGTGCTCGAAAGTCACTACAATATGTTCATAGTATTCATGTGTATGTTAAAGTTTAAACCTCTTGTGAATGGGCCCCATGTAGGCAACGTCTCTTCCTGTCCTTATGGAGTTTGTATCAGAACATCTTCGAGAAGAAGTTGGGATTGTGTTGGAGCAAAAAAACCAAGTCCAGCTTGTTGAGGCTTATTTTGCCGAGAGTACGCCTTTCTTTCTTTCTTTCTTTCTTTCGTTCGTTCGTTCGTTCGTTCGTTCGTTCGTTCTTTCTTTTTTGCTAAACGTCATCCGTCCACTGCAGGATAATATAGCATTTCTTTCATTCTGTATTTCTTTCTTTCTGTCTGTCTTTCTGTCTTTCTTTCTTCCTTTCCGAGTGTTATCCGTCCACTGCAGGGTGTAACCCTCCAACAACGACCTCTATTCTGTTCTTCTATCAGCTGTTTTCGGTGTCCAAGTTGTTCCCGTCAGCTCTCTGATGCCGTCTAGTCCCCTTCTTTTTGGTCTTCCTCTTGGATCTTTTTCCCTGTTCGTGGTCTTCATTTAGTTCATCTTTTAGTCCATCTGTTGTCTTTCACTCTGCCGATGTGGCCAGCCCATTTTCACTTTTTGTCGGAGTATACATATTTGGTATCTGCCACTCCAGTAGGCCTACGTCGGCCTTACGGGTTAAAAATTCAAAAGTGGCGATTCCGAGACAAAGAGACCATGAAACAAAACAAACGCGCGCACACACACACACACACACACACACACACACACACACAAAACAAAAACCCCTCAATAAATTAAAAAATAAATCACAAATTTTATACGATGGGAAGTGTTTTTTATTCTAATCCTCAGTTATTAATGGAAGAAAAAATAATTATGTCTCCGCTAAATCAGCCAATGAGCAGAAGTAATGAAGACAGATGCAGGAACTCTGGTAGTTGGTAATGACGAAGGTTACACTCATACTGTTACTATAACGATATCGGATTAGACCCGCACGCATGGTCACGGAAAAGAAGAGATACCACGTAATAAAACAATTTCATGAAACAAAACCCAAGATGTGCACGTTTTATTTTTTTTGTAGTTTTCTTTTCTTTTTTTTTTTACTTGCCCCCACCCCTCCCCCTTTTATGTACTGCTAGTCTAGACAGAGAGTGATGTTATTTACATTTTTTGTCAAATACTACTACTACTACTACTACTACTACTACTACTACTACTACTACTACTACTACTACTACTACTACTACTACTACTACTACTACTAAT